ACATCCTAAAATATCTACAAGACTCGAGTCATGAGCAGTACTGACGAAATGTCATTAAACTCAATTAAAAACTGCCGAAGGTCCTGCTAGTTATGGAACTAACAAGGAAACATTACTTTACGGCGTGCATAGAGTGTTAAAGTTTAGATAATAATAAATATTATCCTCGCATAGAGCGCTTAACACGAGGGATACCAGTTTACAAGTACAGTCAATTTCAAAACTTTTGAAAGTTTACGAACTGGTATCTAGTATTAAATAATTTACATATCAAGTCATTGGTGTGCATGATCTTATTAAAATTTGCTGAAATTCATGAGCCGGACACGGATTTCCATCTTCCTTCACACAGACAGGCTCCACTGTCTGATCTGTCGGGAGCTAGACAGGTCTCTGTAACCAGAACCAATGTCGGCTGTCTTCGGAGTACTAGGGTTCAAAGGGTTGGCATTTTACTTACTATGGATCGTGCGTTGATGACCACAATTACTAGGTGTAAAACCCCGCCTGATTAACTAGTTAACTAGTTACTAGCCAGTCCTAAGCTCGGGTAAAGAGGGGAGGTTGGGAGTAGGGCTAGAAACCCTACCCCGTAAGACCAATACAACCACTACACAAACTTCAAAACACAAAGAAAATACAAAAAAGTAAAAACAATATTATTCCTCACTGGAATCGGAGAAGCAAAATTATACCGGTTGGTGAAAGCCTTCGGAAAGCCAATTGGCCGGTGTATCTTATCTCGATGAAAGCAGAAGTAAACGTGGGGACATGGAATGTCCGCACCATGTTTGAATCTACCAAGGCTGCCCAGATCGCAAAGGAGATGAGAAGGCGTCGCACTGAAGTGTTAGGAATTCGCGAAAGCAGATGGAATGGAAGTTGACTCTCCAAACTGTCAGCTGGAAAACCAACAATCTACTCCGACATTCTCACCCAGAAGACAACCACGAGCACACTGAGCTATGGAGTGGCTATCATGATGTCCTCTTGAAGAGCATAAAAAGCTCTCATGCAGTGGGAACCAATCTCCTCCAGGATCATAACAGCAAGGTTCAACTCAGAGAGATGGAAAGTCACAATCATTCAATGCTACGTACATGCAAATAATGCAGATCAAGAGAAAAGGGAGGAATTCCATAGACAATTGCAATCGGTAATGGGCAAGGCAACACAACAGATGGCGACATCAAAATCCTGATGGGCGACATGAATGCCAAACTGCTAGGAGTGGACAACACAGGAAAAGAACTCGTCACGTGTCGAGAAGCACTGGGTGAAATGAACCAGAACGGAGAATCGTTTGCAGAATTCTGTATATTCAACGATTTGGTGATTGGAGGCGAGGCAGTGTGTTCAAGCACAGGGATATCCACAAAGCGACATGGATTTCACCAGACACCAGGACACACTAAAAATCATATCGACTTCATCTCAATCTCAAGAAAATGGAGACACAGTCTACTTGACACAAGGTGAAGAAGAGGAGCAGATGTGGGTTCACACCACTCACCATCTAGTGCAAGGAACCTATCTTCAAAATCAAGTTGAAAGCCTTCAAGGAAGCTGGTAATAGACCTCAATTCAAGTACAACACCCAGAAACTGAAGGACGAAACTACATAGGAGATCTTCACGACAGCCATCAAGACAAAATGGGATATCGAGCAACATCCTTGAAGAAACCTGTGTGGAAGAACACTGGAAGTCTTTGAAAGATATGTGGAGAGAAACCTGCACAGCTGTATTAGGAAGGAAGAAGAAAGAAGATAAAGAATGGATCTCAATGGATACATGGAAGCTGATAGAGCAAGGAGAGGAGGATGGTGAAGCAGAAGATAAACCAGTGCAAGGATGCTCAACGACAGGAGGAACTGAGTACAATGTATAAAACACTGGACAAAGAAGTGAAGAAGAGTGCACGCAAAGACAAAAGACACTTCTACGAAACACTGGCAAATGAATCAGAACAGGCTGCAGGTAAGAGAGACCTGACAACATTGTATCAAATAACCAGGTTACTATCTGGGAAGAGATCAACTCAGACGAAACCAATAAAAGATGATGAAGGAAATTTAATTACGAAAGAAGAGAAACGAAGAAAACAATGGGCCGACCATTTTAGGAAGCTCCTGAATCGACCACCACCACCACCTGCACTTCGTCCAGAAATACCATCTGCAGGCGATGAACTACAAGTGAACATAAATCCTCCAACAAAAATGAAAGTCCTGAACGCCATAAAGCTACTGAAATGAGGGAAAGCAGCAGGACCAGATGGGATCCCGCCAAAAGCACTGAGAGCAGACGCAGGGACAACAGTGGACATGCTCACACCACATCACCATTGAAGGGGGCCTAAAAGGGAGGGGAGGTACTGGCAGATTGGATGAAGCTCTACCTCGTAAAACCCCTAAAGAAGGGAGACCTCAGTGTTTGTAAGAATTGGAGCGGAATCACTCTCTTGTCCACCCAGAGCAAGCAAAATATTAGGCCGCATCATCCTGGAGAGACTAAACAATGCTCTGGATTCAAAACTACGACCAGAACAGGCTGGCTGGCCTCAGGAAGTACAAATCATGTGCGGACCAAATTGCAACGCTTCGCATCATCATAGAACAGAGCATGAAATGGCAGTCAACTTAACTCTACCTCAACTTCATTCACTTTGAGGAGGCCTTCGATAGCGTTGGGCGAGAGGTAGTTTGGAAACTGCTTTAATACTACGGAATGCCACAAACTCTTATCAATCTCATTCAACAACAATATGAAGATGCCACATGCCAAGTAATTCGCAATGGGAAGCTCAGTGATGATTTTGAAGTGAAGACAGGAGTGAAACAAGGTTGCCTACTATCCCCCATAATATTCCTGATTGTAGTGGACTGAATCATGCAACGAACAGTGGGGAACGAGAATAGGGGGTACGCTGGACAGAGGTAAAGAACCTGGAAGATTTGGATTTCGCACATGACTTGTATCTAATGTCATACAAAATTGAAGATCTGCAGGCGAAAACTAACAAGTTGACGGAGGAGGCGGCTGAGACGGGATATCCATCAGGTGAACGTTGAGAGGACAGAGGTGATGAAGATACTCAACCAACAACGCCACCACAAACAGCAACGAGCTCCGATCACCGTCAACGGGAGAAACTTAAAGGAAGTAGCCTCCCTCACCTATCTAGGAAGCACTGTTTCAACTACAGGCGGCACAGATGAGGATGTCAAAGTCAGAATCGGAAAAGCAAGACAGGCGTTCATTAGCCTGAAACCAGTGTGGAGATCTTCGGCACTCAGCATGTGGAACAAGATCCGGATTTTCAACACTAATGTCAAGTCAGTGCTTCTATATGGTTCACAGACTTGGAGCGTTATGAAGGGGATTTCCAACTAACTACAGACATTCATCAACAACTGCCTACACTCGTTACTAAAGATCAGATGGCCAGAAAGAATAAGCAACAAGGAACTCTGGCTGGTAAAGAACCAACCAAGAGCGAATCACCCAACAAATGTGCAGAAGAGAGCGGAGATGGATTGGGCATCCACTGAGAAGGCCGACTGGGGACACCACGCGACAGGCCCTCGAGTGGAACCCAGATGGGAAGCGATGAGTTGGGCGTCCGATGGTGACATGGAGAGACTATCTGAGGAGGAAATGAGAGCTTGTAAGCTGTTGTGGAGCCGGGTTTAAAAGATTTAAGGGAACAGATTGTACTGGTGACGTGCTACTGAAGCCTCGTGTTCCATTAGGAACCCAGGGGATAAATAATAACGATAAAAATTGCTGAGATATAAGGAGTGCTGGGAGGGTGGAGAGAGATAAGTAGGTCTCGTACTTACCATCGCCTCATCGGTGTACCGATACGTATCGCAGCTTTTGCCACCCCCTTTCAAGCTATGACGCGCACGAGTGATAGGTGCTCTGCTTTTTGTCACCAGTATACCGTCTCTGAACTAAAAGACTTAGTTGTCATCAAAAGCCGTGATTTAAAGGCTTCGGCAGCAGCTGCAAAGAGCATCCGTGTTGTATGATCCACCCATGGAGCTTTCAAGGGCTTTTATCAGGATATTATCAGAATACCCTATTCTACTTACGTTAGCAGTTGCTTAGAATACCGCATGCAGGCGGCTAGCCCATGCCTTAAACAGGATACTGACACACTCAGTAGTGTTCGAGCAGTTACTAAGCTTGCGATAAGCCCTTTGCGCCTGTCGTATGAGGAACGACTAGATCGACTAAACTTGTTCCCGCAATCTTACCGTAGGAAACAGGGTGACCTCACACTGGCGCTATATCCCCGGTAATGATTGATTGTAACCAATCCTACCAAGTAGTATTCAAGGAACTATTCTGGTTCGAACTCTGCAGACGCAGAAACCACTCACTAGCTATTCATACTTGCTATATGCCCATGAATACGAGGCCGATAAAGAACACAATAGCGTAGTCCAATGGAATAGTATATTTGCGAGACCGTGCCAAGATACCGATGCGTTCCAACTAACCTGCTAGGGGGTCTGTCACGAGCAGTGCAATGTAACACGCCAGTGTGCCGAGTGTCATGGGTGCTTGGCCGCGTGCCCTCAGCTTAGCGCGTCTAGTTACACAATCAAGGTCGGGAGCAATGTTGAATCTCGTCGAACCCTGGGCTATCAATCCTGGAGAAATTTGTGAAGCTACAGTATCAACACCTTCGGACAAAGTGGTTGAGGAGAACCTTGATCTTCACAGAGATAACGTTCGCAAGGATTAATACAGGCCAACTGACCTGCTATCCTTTATCCCGAAAACTCAAACTGCCACCAAAGTTCTGAACAGGAAAAAAACTTATGTAACTATCGAGGGGGTATGACTGAACAAAAAGCACCAGATTGGAAGACCCAAAAGCAAGAGCTCAGAAACTACAAGTTTCCTCTACTCGTATAACTGATGTTTGAAGTTGAACTGAATTTGGACCGATGAGTGCTTGACCATTTTGTTTACTCAATATACTAGTATTGTACTATAAAGAGAAGAAAATTTGAAAGTAAACGTTACGGTACTACTTTATTTACATCCTGTCTTCTCTTCCTAACGTTTTCGTCGAAATTGGGTGGTATCCACCTAAATTTTCATGTAGGTTCAAGCTTTTAATTTATGAGCATTTTTTGGTACCGGGAACACCTACTTGTTCTATGTAGTGCTTTCCCCAAACTAACAAAAATGGGGAGATAAAGTGGTTGACTGGGGAAATAATGGATACTTCAGCTGAAACGTTTGAGGAAGCATCAACTCAGCAATTAGGCGTAATATATTTAATACTTCTGTGAATTCAACACATATAACCAACAGTTCAGATCAGCAAATAATCACATTAAGTTTAGTAATCCAGTATATATATATATATATATATATATATATATATATATATATATATATATACTGAATTACTTGAGTTGATGCTTCCTTAAACGTTTTAGTTGAAGTATCCATTATAATGGATTGCCCCATTATTTCCTCATTTTCGCTAGTTGGGGTCAGGAGTCGTATTTACAAAAATGACTTATTAAAGTTTATGAAAAAAACCATTTGCTATCCTTTAGTCATGACTAAGGAAAGAAAAATCTGACTACATTTTCGGAGTACTGACAAATACCAGCTAACAACCACATGTATATAGACATATTAGTATTTACTGCGCATTTAGTAAACTGCACGGATGAATATTTAGATACCATTGGTTTTATGGATATTACGTGCGAGTCAATATGAGTTTGGTCATATGTGGATTCAGAAAAGATTGACGTCGGGGGATTTAAATATGCGACACCTGCTGTAACCTTTCCAGTCCCTAGGATTCGGATTGTTGCTGATTTCCACCGGATGGTGTTCTTCTTTTAGGTGTTGTGAGGTTTACTATGCTTTTGAATGAAAGTTTGTGAACATTTTGTAGCCATTTTGTTTCTCGTGGAAGTGCGGGACTAATGTACACCTGCTTATGCTCTGGTGACAGTGATGAGATTATTTTGGTTTTGATTAGTTGACCCGTCATGTTAGCTTCATAAATATTAGATCACTTGAATATTTCTGACAGATGGTCTCTAAATGTGAAAGACATCGTGTTGATATAAGTATTACACTTTTCATTTTTAAGTTGACAATAGCCTTTAATGAGTCTGCTGACTCAGCGAAATTAATATCTCATCTATTTTTCCATGTAAAGGCGGTTTGTTGAACATGGTTATTTTAATCGCTCTGAATAATCAAAGTGCATGTTTAGTGAGCACAGTTGATCTTGATTTCAGTTTTCAATAGTGTTAGCAGAAAGTTGAAATTGAGAGAAACCAGAAGGTAGTGTAGAATCAAGTTGGCCCTCTGTAAAATTTATTACCGACAATGGTGCAAAGACAACCCTGTTTTTCGCAATAGCTTAAGTTAGTGACTGTAACTATTATATAGTAAGTGAAAAGCTTATATAGCGGTATAAGTGCGTTGAAAAGATAAAACTAGTGAAGGACGTGTGCGCTTGTGCCCCAGAGTCCCAGTTGCTTTGTGAGACCGGTGGTAGCACCTTACCAATAAGACTGAAAAATAGATGGGGTAAAAACTAATAATGTTTTAGTCTAAAGCTATATTTCTAAATTTTCAAACCTCTACACTTTCCCGGTCATCATCCTTATATACCGTATCCAACATAATCGTAATCGCATAATGCCCCGTCCATAACGGCACTGCCATCTTCAGATTGGAAGTTTCAACATTCAAACCCTATGCCAAATCAGAAGACAGGCCTAACTTTCCGTAACTCTGTGATAATGTGCTACAGATGTATACTTTATTTCTGAGACATGCATACAAGACCTAAGTGTATTTATTCACCTGTTGTCACCTAGCCAATGTGATGAATCTATGAAATTGACCTTACGAGTATCCGGAAGTTTAGCGGATGACTTTCATGTACTCACTAGTTTAGATATAGCACTAAGCTTGTATGCAAACTGCTCGCTTTTTGAGTAGATACCAATCTACAGACGCCTATGTGCTGTTCAACTAAACGAGTCTGTAGGAACTGTGATAAACCATGACCTTCGTAGCTGCTTATTCGTACTCTCCTAAATTCCTACCAACTTCAGTTCAGATATTAATAAGGATGGGTTATGTTAAAACGCTGTCATTTGTGCTACATAAGGCAAAGTTTTTAAATCCAGTCATATTTGCAGGTGACGTCGACGTTCAAGTAGGGGAGCTCCGCCAATCAGAAAGACATCTTGGCATTGCCTACAGTATCTTATTCCAAGGAACTGGCAACTGTGGTCGTCTCTTATAATTTTGTTCCGGAAATCACTTGTTTCTGAATAGTACTAGCTTCAAACATAAGGAGAAGCATTATCTCACTTGGTGTCCACCAACTTCTAATCAACGGTGGATACAAATAAGTCATATTTCTCTTAACCGTCGTTGAAGAGGATTGGTCAAGAATCTCCACTCTTCTTTTATTCTCCCCTTAAACTTCAAATATATATTATTACGGGCACGTATAAGTTTGCGTTATCACGGACACAAGAATCATATAACAACAAAGTGTGGATATACTTAGTTTTAAGATGCGAACATTGAATGCGTATTCAGGCAGCAGGTAGCTAAGTATGTGTCTGGACGTTACCCAAAAACATCGACGTAAAACCCAGTCTGATATCCACTGCTATAGAACTAGCAATAGATACAGCCAAGAGCATGCATGCAAAGGTTATCAAATGCCAGCGAGTTTCTGAAACACCGTCCGAGCTGATTGGTGCAAAGGACTTATTCCGACTGGCTTTGGTCAAGATGGTGAGCGTAAGCATGACAATGATCAGTGAGATTGTCACTAAAAGGGTAGGCTGTTGATAAAGACGGGTGACTGAGAGTTAAATTAACTGAGTTTTCATTACGAATGTGAGTAGTTATTCGGAAGACGAAAGAGATGAGGAAGACATCGACATTGAGTGATACTAGACACTTATTTCGGCTCATAATGAAAATGGTCACTGAGATTGTGATCAAGAAGGATGGGTCACTGAAAAAGTGTAGGGTTTTGTAGCTGGATTGGTAGACGAAATACTCCGAAGAACAGTTCAGTTGGCCAACTAAAACCCTTTCATTGTCTAAAATCCAGGCTGAATACAATATAAATTTTGGTTATCTATATCTCGTCTGTGTTGAGAGAATCGTTCAAAGCCTGAAACGATGCAAATTAGCAGGAGCTGACGGTTTACTACCAGGATCTTTCAGCCTTGAAAGTAAAAAAGCTTGTGAATCCAGTAACTGAGGTACCAATGAGTGCATGAGGATATCGCTCATGACCGTATGAGCGACCCAGATCGCCCATCATTTTGTTTTATAAGAAAAGAAGACAAGTCTGCTCCTGACACTTTCAGCGGAATATGTCAGACTAGCAATTTCATGATCATACGATCCACAGTCATTCGGTTAATCTATTTGGGGCCAAAGAATGAAAAACTGCGGAAAACAAGACAGGTTTCAGACCTGAGAAAAAAATGTAGCCACAAAATATTCATAATTTGACAAATGTTTGGTAAAAGACATAATTACTGGTGCATGAAACTCGTCACATATCTTGAAGGGAAAGCGATATTTGACTTTGTCGACCACCAGGTATTGTGGCGTTGTTAGGATGTGAATTGACGGAAGGATAAAAATCGACGTAGAACCTCGCACAGAAGTGCGACAGTTCAAGTTGTCACACTTCACAGTATCATGCAAAGAACAAGCAGATAGAGAATGAATGATATCAAAGTAGACAAAAGTGTATGGAATGCGAAAGAATTTGAAAAAGATGGAGGCTAATCGAAATGCCTAAACTTTCGAAGATGTCAAAGACCGAGTACTTGTGCGTAATTGTGACCGATTGTCAGTCATATCACTGAGATTCCCTAACCAAGGATACGCCTCTATACATGGCTCTAACAGTTGGAGATTTCGTGAACTGGTGCTACGTCTTGGCCTGGCCACCCTGTGCATCCTTTCAAACTCATTCTACTTCAGCTAAAGTCGCACATCAACATGTGCGGTCGTTCATCAGGCTAGAAACACATCCAAGCCGTCTCAGTCGGTGAAGGTTCACGACCTAATCGACTGACTTGCGTGTCTTAACTAGTACCCTGCACATAACCTTGACATTACCCAAACACAGTTATTTTACCAGTGACAAGGAACAGTACAAAGGTGCCGATGATCTGCAACCTCTTGATATTTTCTGCTTTCAAGTGTCGTGTATCACCGTCATACAACACAGGAGAGGATACTGCTGTGCAGTGTACTCTTCCTTTGATATACTTTTTGATATTCCATCGGTGTCATACATTGACGAATGCGAAACGAACATTTCGTATCTGAGCTGAAACTTCGTCAACAACCTACACATCCAGGTCTATGCAAAGTCCCAAGTAAGTGATCAACGTGTCGCACTACTTCACCCTCTGCTTTCAAACTAAGAGTTGATCCAGACCAGCCCAAAGCGTCATCTTGCAACTGACGGGTGAAAAGCTTATCAAACCCTCAGATTTCTGCTCAGTGTGTTTAAAAACGGAGTTCTTTCAGTGTCTCCGTCTGGCAGGACAGTGTCACCTCCATATGCTACGTTAGCTAGTTGCTTTTCAAGAGACAGACCATTCTCCAAGAAGATTCATGTATGTTGGGTAGTATCTAACAGATTATATACAATATGGTTCAACAGGAATGGCGATATTAGAAATCCTTGTCGGGCATCACTGGTTTTCCTTAATTTGGACGACAACACTTCCTAAGCTTTTAGACAGCTGTTTTAGATTAAATAAGGATCCTTGATAAACATGGTACTTTCGCTATGCAGACGAGAGTGAAGAGAAAACAATATGTGACACTTAATTGAGCTTATTAAGTATGGTGGAAAGGAGAACACAACGGTTAGTTAGAGTATCACCGAAAAGAATGGGACCCTGTTGACCTCTCAGAACAAGCGATTAGTAAGTTGAGAGGAATGCTTTAGAGCGCAGTTTGACTGACCTACAACAACTCTACAGTTGTCCAGCATCCACACCAAAACTGGGTAGGAAGATGTCAATACTCCATCTCTCCTCGAAGCTAAGAAGCTCGTTTCAACCCTGAAACGCTCCAGACCAGCAGGACCTGACGGTTTGCTATCCGAAGTTTTTAATAACGGAGGTAGGAAATTGCTGAGCAGAATAAAGGACTCCGTAGGTAGCATATCAGAATCACAGGTAGTCTTGTCAGACTGGTCTACATCACTGATCATTCCAGTCTATAGGAAGGAAAGAATTCTTTTAGCGGCAACCACAGGGGAATGTTTCACTAGCATCGTATCTAAGATCCACTGATAGTTGTCCAACACCTAACCGGAGCTTAGGAGCAGCAAACTTAACAAAACCAGGCAGGTTTCAGGCCTAGAGGAGGGTGCATAAATCAGATCTTCGCTCTTAATTGGGTGATGAAACACAGTCATATTCACTTGCAGCTTGATCTGGAGTTGACATTCAACCCAGTTGACTATGAACGGTTGTGGTTGTGTCTGACTGCAATAAGAGTACTGATAAAACACATAACACTGATGCAAGCCCTCTACTTAAAATGCTGCAAATGTGTATGTGCCTATTTACAGTTTACATCTCAACTATCAAGAACCAGTGGTGTCCACCAATAATGAAAAATGTCACCGTTCCTGGTTAACATTCTTAAAGATTACTTGAGGGATATAACTCTAGGTATCTCTGACTTGACAGTGATTGACATACTACCTAGAGAGGATCTAGTTTACTTGAAGTACGCAAGTGACATTGTTCTGCCCGGTGAAGATGTTGACAAAATGTGGAATCTTCAGAATGCGTTGATATGATACCTGAACATGTTTGGTATGTGTCTTACACCTGTCAAATGAGAAATGATGACTCAAGACTGGCTTGCAACTACTTAAAATTTAAGGATGCAGAGTGAACTGGTAGCGTGCTTGGTCATTTGTCTTACTTGGGGAGTTTCATCAGCCTGAACGGATTCATCATTGATAAAATCTCGGCTCGGATACGGAAGACTTGTTTATCATTTTCCAACCTGCATCACCTCCGGCTCCGGTGCGATATCTGACTACCTGTTAAAGGGTAAGTATACTGCACTGCAATTTGCTATTTCTTATTGTATGGATATGAGATATGGTCACTGACAGTAGACATGAAGACATTATAGGTTTTCGAAAACAGGTATCTTCGTAGTATTTCCCAAGTATGGCTGAATCACTATGTGAGCAATGTCAAGGTTATGTGCAAGTCAGTCGATTAGGTCGTGAACCTTCACCGACTGAGACGGCTTGGATGTGTTTCTAGCCTGATGAACGACCGCACATGTTGATGTGCGACTTTAGCTGAAGTAGAATGAGTTTGAAAGGATGCACAGGGTGGCCAGGCCAAGACGTAGCACCAGTTCACGAAATCTCCAACTGTTAGAGCCATGTATAGAGGCGTATCCTTGGTTAGGGAATCTCAGTGATATGACTGACAATCGGTCACAATTACGCACAAGTACTCGGTCTTTGACATCTTCGAAAGTTTAGGCATTTCGATTAGCCTCCATCTTTTTCAAATTCTTTCGCATTCCATACACTTTTGTCTACTTTGATATCATTCATTCTCTATCTGCTTGTTCTTTGCATGATACTGTGAAGTGTGACAACTTGAACTGTCGCACTTCTGTATGAAGTTCGATGTTGATTTGTCAGTCTTTCTGCTTGGGCTAGGTACTTTTGCAATGACTCGTCCTGGAAAGTTATCTGCGTAGACAGCAAGTGGAAGATGAGAATCACGATATGTCTATAAAATACAAATATTTATGTAGAGGTAGTATTCGTCACGGAATGACATCAGTTGTGGAACCACTGAAAATCATGTAAATAATACAGACAAACATTCAATGAAACCTTGAAGTATAGATTCAAAAGCGTTGACTGTGTTTCATCCTTTCGTTAGGAAACTTATTAGGCTCTGAAAAACATATATATACACATGTGTAACTTTCCAAATTTGTAATCTTATAGTCACCATATTCCTCATTGCAGCATTTCTTACAAACCTCGAAACCATTCATTTCGTTTTATGATTGAGCTCTGTCTTTGTTCTTTGAATTTTAGGTTTGGATCTGGTCTGGATCAATTTTGCAATTTTCAAGTGTCCTTGAGTTTCGGCTTCTATTTTTTTTAAGTAACCACCTCGTGGCAATCTTATGCACCCTTATCGAATGCTTTTTCTCATTTTATTTATGTTATGCTTTCTGGAAAAGTTAGGTAAGAGCTCAGTAATTTTTTTCCTAGGGGGATACAAATGTAACTTGCATGTACGCTTACTTTTGAATTTTTTTAAAAAAATTTATTGAACGATTGTTTATCTTGGGTAAACGAATACTAAGGTCCAGAACACCTAAAATATGTATACTAGCAGTTTGTTTGTGTTTCTATCTTTTAATAGTTTCATTTGCAGTTCTTAAAATGCAGTTACATTTCTCACGTATCTGCAATGTTTACAGTGGTTTTGTGGTGTGGCCCGTTATATTAACTAAAAGCGCATAACTGTTCTTCATCATAATTTGCTCTGGAGAGGGAAGATTTGGGATCATGTTAAGGACAGTTTAAATATATTCAGTCGATATACCTTATATCTATCAGAATTAATGCAAACAGACCCCTTGTGAATGTCAACTTGTCTGCCGAATATTGAGTATTTTTGGGTTTCAGTAAACAACTGTCGAATTATTGTTAGTCTATCATGAATACTACATTTTTACCTCATAGTGGTAATAGCCTATTTCGGCATTCTTCTAACCTGTGTCAATCTGCACATTAAGCTTTTCTGAAATGCGGTTTGAAAGCTGAAAACCAAATGGTTGGTTACATACAGATTCTCTTATTTGTTTTAGGCTCACGTGAATCTTCTTGCTAAAAAGTCTTCTTTTGTATCTGACAACCCAAAATTTCGTATCATTTAGGTTTAGATAAGACCTAATAATGATCAGATCACTGTAGTGTTCACCACTATTCTTCCTGTCGTAATACTTTTAGCTAGTTAGCTAGATTTACTTGTTTCGTTCTGCCAAGATTATGTTCAAAGTAGCTAAATCTGAACTGTTTAAAGGAATTTTCGATGAAGCAGCTTTTCTGTGATTTGTATGATTAGTGCCATCAGGTGTTAGTATACTGAAATCAATATACTAACGAAGGCCTGTGTAAATATATTTTATTGATCGAACTATTTGTATGAGGCTCTGTTTTTGTCTGATTCAAACGATAAGTTTAAATAAGAGGATATTGCTTACCTCCGAAAAATCAATAAAAGAAGTGCTAACATGCCTCTCTTTCTTTGTAGCTAAGGTATATAAAACATATTACATTAGGAAGTGACTGAATAAGCAGTAGATAAGTATCAAGGACGTTTTATAGCCTAACAATCGTGGTATATGTTATTTTGGTAAAGAAAATGGATGGCAGTTAGTTCATCACATCTGGTTATTCATGGCGATGATCAAACAGATATTTATTGGCTTTAGTTAATGCTTAGAGAAATTAAGCTGTAGGATTTATTGAAACTCACTTATTGAGTCCCAGTATTTCAAGCATTGTTAATCTAACACAACTGTTCTTGATTTTAGGATAACTCCAAGAACTAGTCCATCTAGCTCCGACACCACTGAGTAATAATCGTTGTAAAAGTCACATGAATTCTACATTTAAAATGTGTTTAAACCACCGAACCAAACACTAAGATGACTCCACTTACTGAATTATGTTGTCCATTGTGCTGAACCATACTCTGCCACAACTCAATATCACTTATACAGTGATTTCATTGAATGCAAATGGTGAAATACAGATAGCAATGGTCCAATACCGAAGGCTTGGAGTGACAAATTTTCACAAATGCGTGACGAAAATATACTTTTCAAGACTGGGCTAATGTTAGACTAGCAGCGCGCCTTGAGTTTTGCCACCCTGTATTTCGCTATGTAGAGACTACCTTCTGAATAAGTCAGAAATAGATCTTATGAAGCGTAGTTACACAAGACGTGTGTAGTCTCATATTAACGTTGAAGTAGCCTGCATTGTTTCTTTTGATCACCAACTTTATTTTACTTTTCACAGTTTGAGTTTTTGAAAGTATACTCTTATTATTATTATCTTGATATGGAATTACACTTTACCAATGTCTGAATTCAATACTTACGTTATCTTGATTTGTTTCAGGGTCCACAAAATTTACGTTGTCTGTAATTCCGGCCAATCAACCGGTACTTATTGGTCAGAAGGTAATTCTGATGTGTCAAGTTCAGGGTATACGCTTCCCTATGCAATATGCAGTTTTATTTAAACGTAAAGACAAACTGATTTCAGAGAAATGTCATGTTTATGAGGAACAGAAGTATCACCTTGTCTGTGAACCAAACGATTGGCAAAGAGCTCATACTTATGAATTACATATCAAATCAGTTTCTTGGGCAGATCGTGGTGATTGGTTGTGTATTTATGCAGCAAATATGACCAGACAAACCCTTGAAGTATATGGTAAGTTGCAAGTTTGCATCCATTCACATATGATGTTCGCAAATTCATCATTGATTGATCTCAACTCAGCTGGTAGTTCGTGGACGTGGTGTTCATCAAAGAATGTCATCAGCTGAAGAATCGTTGAAGAATTGAGCGCAATAGACTACTGCTCTTTGTATTATGAAACTCCTCAGCAGTGCTCACCCACAACCCAACGACGGATCAAGCGCAAGATCATCAGTTCTCAGGGTGAGCACGTTACCATTCAGCCACTGGATCGGAATTCAGTGGTTAACATTTTCCTGCTTCTGTCAATTTGCAATGTAGCGTGACCATAATCCAATGTCACCAGTGCACCTCCACCTCACTCTCGACTTGACTAACCTCACAAGTCAAACCTTTTTAAAGGATAACTCGTTTATCATTTACGCAGCAGGTTCACAGTTTTTCATGGTCACTAAAACGTCGAATAGCCAAAGAAATTGTAGATTGTATAGTTAGTTCTTATTAGGGTTCATTATCCGGCCAATGTACAAAAATATATATTCCTGAAGTTAGACGCAGTTTGTCTCATCTATGATTTGACATTGTGTATACCATTAAATATTCACTGATGTGGAATGTTTTTACACCATTTACTATTTCAATTGGTGATTTGTAGGGATTTTGTTAATGGATATGGTTATTAAGAAGGCTATATGATCAAACAAGATCATTATTTCATTCTCATTTAAATTAGCAGTGAAAGCAGTAAGAAGATAACTAGTTCACGAATTTCTATTTATTCATAGGATAATTCAAACAAGTGCTCTTATTATTTGGGCATCTAGTGGTCTATTTTCTTGACCTCTCCTTCGTTCGGAATATACCTAAAATATGCCGTTTACTTCACTGCTCGGAGGAAAGTTCGACTTTGACATGAATTTTCAGTACATTTTCTCATTCACAGTGTTCCTGTTGAGTATGTGTACATAGATTTACTCGACATTATTTCGAACGACTGGTCTACCTCACTTGTCAATAGTACAGACCGCCAACTTTTATTCTGTTGATGCTACAGAGCTTGGTCAATCACGCTGAGACTAACCTAAACTACATAATCGGTTTCAGCAAATAAACTATTTTCATTTGCCACGAGTTAATCAGTAAAACTGGACAATCACCCCTTCATAAAACTCAGATAAGTCCAAATGCTTCTCCTCTTTTCTTTTGAAAAAAGATCTTAACCAGTAGGATCGATGTAGCTTACTGTGTTGTACTCACCAATAGAATACTGATGATTACACCACTACTAATTGACAAAAGTGGGGAAATGGTGATAATTAAGTTCCAAGCTTGTGGTTCAATGGTAACATGCTGGCCCCGACTACTGTGTAATCGACTTCTTGCGTGGTTTAAGCCTGAAAACGCTTCGAATCTCAAAATATATGAAGAAACTCAGTATATAATGTAGTGTTTCAAGAGACAAGTTCAAGTTTCACTGGAAATATTAACGCTAAAAATACAAATAAATTCAACTGAAGAGCTTTAAATATGCCGTTTGGAATCCACTGTTAGCCACTGATAAGTGTAACCATAATGTATTACATACATGTATCATGAATTCAACCGTAAAATAATAGAAATAAACGAACAGTGATATTTGTCTTAAGACAATCGGCAAGAAGCCCTGTACCTAGGTTTCATGCTTGTTGGACATCGTCAGCAAGACGTATCTACCATCTTGCGGGAAGTAATGTCACCTCAGATTCAAGTCCACACCACCCAGTGTCGCACTCAGACACCTTTTCATTTAGCTATATGGTCAGCGATTAAGAGCACTAATCGACCTCTAGCTTCCATACCACAAACTATACCAGTCATCTACAATGATTATCTGTATTTCTTATGTGGTATTCTCATAGGTTTGCGGTACATTGGTTCATGACTGAACATATCTACGCTGAGTAGTTGTATCTGGATTAGTACTAAGGAATCTAACTATTCAACTAAATGCTTGTCCACTGGAAAGTGTGAATATTCACTGGTCTTATGCAAAATGATGACAGTATGTTGTTATGTCTCTTTGCACTGTGATGCAGTACTTATTGAGATTTCAGTTTTAATACAAACATATCATAGATCAACAATCATAAATTAAAGAAGGAATCGAACTCTAGGGTAGAACATCATGTTATTTTGTTTACTAAACACTTCACATAGTGAAATAATATTATTTATCAGTTACTTTATATGGTATAACTTATTGTTTATAATTTTACTAAAACAATTATCTCACACATGAGTGATATTACCCAGTTGGAGTGTTTAATAACATATAGGTAAAGTGATTTTTACGGACGACAGAACACCACTAATTGGTTGAAAGTTTCTATTCTACCAAGGGAGGTAAACTTAGGAAAGAAATGTATCTCATCAGTTATCACTTTATCATGTCTGTACACATCACTCTGCCAAACTAACAATGGTTACAAATTTGAAGTTGCACATGTAGTTCTCATTTAAAAAAATCAAAACGTTAAGCGTTGAGTATGGTAATCGTGCTTTGTTTAGCAGCTTCCAAAGATCCAATGTAAATGAGTCATATTTTACAGTCTACAATAATAGCGAACAGCATAAGTTAATTGTTTTGCTAAGTGGTTAGGTGTCGTCAATAGTTAAGTAAGGATACGGAAATAAAACTTGCGTTGATCAGGAAAGGATAATTATTTTCGATGACCAAGATAGGGAAAAAACAATAGTAATGATGCAACTCAGTTCATTACAGATTTATTTGTTGAGCTACAGGCTACACTTAGTGTGAGGGCTTACGGTACCAGTCGGTGACTCAGGCCGAGATAGATGGACCTGGATTTGAAATCGTCACTTCTCGATTAAAGGTCGAGTGTCAAAATCAATGAGTTACAACTTCCGTCTGTCATTTACCTAATGATGGTGGATCGTGCTCAAACATTCAACTGATATAATTAACCATATACCTTGTGTGACTGTTTTATAGAAGAGATGAAATTCCTTGGTTTGTTTTTGTTTACCGCAGTTAAAATCAGTCGATTTCAATGGGGTTGATATAGGTTTGAAGTAGGAAATCTTGTCTATAAAATTCTTTTCTGAGGTTGTATCGTGATAACATCGGAGTTGTGACTTCTAAATTACATTTCCAAAAATTGTGCTTTCTTAGAAACTGATACTCTTTTACCTTTAACCTTTATCTTTTTCATATGCTTGGCCATGCACTTAGCCGACTATCTATTTCTTATAAAGACCTTAGGATCTAACCAAAGCTTTTTGTCTCTCATAGGAACGGAGTGAATGCTTTTGTTACAATGAACCATTCATTTCACTAGATTTTATTTACGTCCGGGAGGCATCGAAACATATGTAATTACACTCATCAGATGTTAGACTTTGATATATACTTTAGTACACCCTTTAAAAGAATCCAGTCTCGTTTAGCTGTACCAGAAATCGTGTTTAAAGAAGCTTAATTACAGATGGTTTATATCATGGTTCGAATTGAGTTATTGGGAAGTTAACTTTGAACTTATTTCCCACCATGAGCTCAAAGTAACTGAACAAGCACTACATATCATAAAGAAGCCAATAGGAACTTGCTCACAGAGTAGAGTTCGAGTTCGATTTCAAAAAGACAAAGTAATAATGCCTATTTCTGAAGGTTTTCATATCAAGACAAAACGCCTGGCTATTGGTTCTCATCAGTCAGTTACCCAGCATGAATTTTTTTTTTACAACTGTCTCCCGTTTTGTTATTGTTTTCTATTGTTCATTACAGTCCATGCTTGTGTCAACTATGTTAGTTATGATGAAAAAAACGCTTTTCATTGGTCAGATAGTAGTTTGTTTGTAACCTAATCCTGAATTGCTCATCAAAAATCTTTAAATGAACTAAGCTGCTAAAGGAGGCCAAATAAAAGTGTTTATCAATACACCATGTACGCCAGTTACTTTCTCTATACGACTGGATCCTACTGACTGTTTTCAATCTGCTGACAAGACAAAATGGTTTTATCGTTGTCAAGGTATACTATGTAGATCGGGATTGAACCAGTGTAGGGACTTTTCATTTTATAGTGTGGATTAAACTATTCTCTAACCCGTATGGCCTATTTTTTGACACCTGCTGTGCCCAGGTGTCTCTGAGTCAGCATACGGGACAGTTATGGGCAGCAGTCAGTTAAACAACCTTGACCTTAAAAGAGTTGATCAGGAATATATATAAACCACTTTTGGTTGAGTCACGCTAGTTGGTAAATTTAACTTTACTTCTATTTCGTTTTCGGTCTTAAACATACTTAAAAAAATTTAAGACATATGTCTGAAATATTCAGTTGTCAAACTTTTCCATTTGCTTATATTTTGAACGTTTATCGTTACCTTGATCAAAATGCAGCTGTTGGTTGGAGGTATTCAACATACGAATTTACTGCATGACACATAGTTCCTAGAATGATTTTGTCTAACTTTTAAGGGTTAGGTTTCACAAAGCCATTATGTGGAGGTGTGACATAGTGATTTAAACAAGCAGTTTTCAGCCCTGGCGGTCACAGATGAAAACTTAGCTACAATTACCGATGTTCACGCAGTGGAATGGCATCCTTCCTGCTCTCGCAATAAGTGCAGTACATTCAATACACTACCCTCCTCACGGTTTCTGGATTATACTGCATTTTAGCATTGTATGTGTGCATTTGTTACATTGGTGATGCGAAAATCAGAAGGAAGGAACAAGCGGAAAAATGAATCACAATTCAGTCAATAAATCACTTACTCATTTGCCTGCCATCGATAAAAAGTTACACCATCTTTAAACAGTAACGTTTAAGTGGCTACTGAATATTGAAGATGTGACAAAAGTCAACATAAAAAACAAAGTCACATATGTTTTTGATTGTCATAAAAATGCATTAATACGACAAACTCCCATTTCATGGTGTAATAATTTATTTTCAGAACCAAATATCAGTTCGCGTTGGTGTGTCAGTTCTTTGTGAAAATACCATGATAGTTTCATTGACTACATTTTGATACTATTTGGTAGTTGTTTGTTGTTGTTATTACTATAGTCAACACTAGGGAGTTCTTACTAATAGCCGAAACAACCATATGAACTGTTCAATTCAATTTTGGCAATCAAAGGCAAAAGTACGCCACAATAGACAATAATAACGATGAGATTTAGCAACCTGATACATGCTTATGTTTCGATGTATAAGGTAAATTTGATGTGTTGAGGTTTATGATGCTATAATGCAATCTGGCTATCAAAAAAAATTCTCAATGTAATTATGCCACTTTACTGCTTTTTAGCCATCTTAGTTTAAAACCACTCAAAATCCGGTGGCTGTTCCACCTCTTTTTGGTATCTGTAGACAGAGGAACAATAAAATAAATATACACTTTAAGTCATATTTTAAGTTGTGTTTGCTAACTAATCAATACGCCCTGTCTCCATTAGAAACATTGATTAATTATGCCTGATGTAGACATGCTTAAATAAGTAAGAAATGCCTTTTAGAATTACTTTTTTGTTTTTACAAATTTACAGTTTTCACGTTTCTGTAGGAGACGGTTAGTATAATTTTACTGAAGTAATAAGAACAATTTTAAAAAAGAACTTGAAGTGTGAAAAATTAAAAATTGAATACTTTGACTACGCATATCTTGGTTTTCATAAGCCTTTTATAATTTCATTTTCCTTTTTATTGTTTTAAGCACCAGCTAAGCTGGAAAAAATGGGTGTCTCAAGTTTGGCGTTACCTATGACTATAGGTAAAGAGAATATAATGAAAGATTCTGGTTCATCTTCTGGAATATCATCTCCTTCTGTGTCACACTCTGGTTCTTCTTCATCGTCTTCTCTGGCTGCAGCAGGGGTGGATTCAGTGTTATCAATCATCGGTACACCACCTGGCCAACATATTGGCTTGGGTACTCGGACTAATCCGTACGATTTGCGTCCAGGGTTGGGAATACAACTCACTTGTGAAACAACTTGTGGACATCCTAGAGCCAATATAACTTGGCTGGTCATAAATGAGGTAACTTCCAAACTCTAGAAGACTATTTACTTAATAATGTTTATGTATGTTTAAAGAATCCTTTTACTAGATAATACGGGAGGAAAGTGTAGTTACAGTTAATTTATTTGAGCATTCAACTTCAAATTAATGAGTTCTGAGTTTAAAATTCGCTGCACTTGTTTCAACCTTAGTAATCATATAATAACAAAAGCCCTTATACGTAAAGTGGGGTTCATAGCCTAGTAAATCAAAGCTTTACTATGGAGACGATTTGTATAAAACGGGGAAAAAAATGAGGGAATAGATTTACTGGTCAAGTTCAGGATGAAGCTAAGAATTCACAAAATGTTTGTGGTAAAAATTTTATTGTAGTTGACGCATGTTCTGTAAGTTTAAAGGGAATATGATGTTACTGGGCGAATCGACACATGATGCCGACTTAATCACTAGGATTGGTCTAATTGAATATGTAGATACACAAAATCATTATTTCCATCTTTAGATTTGATAAAACGATTTTTAGAGACAGAATATTTGCAATTTACCGGCTTATTTCAAGTAATCTGCTACTGAGGCAGTCTCTTTTAGGGCAGCATTAGTTTATTTATGTATATGAACATATATTTAAGTTTATTTAGCTCTGTGAGTCTGAAATAACACTTTTCATTAAGTGGTTGGACGTTATTTAAAAGGTAGATAGGTTTTCTCAGATAAGCCTTGATGGAATCGATTTTCTCTTTAGATTACAAACATGTATGAACTACAATGATACTTGGCTTCCATAGCTTCCAGATATTTTTCATAGAATACAGAGCGCTGCAGTGTTAATACACTTAGTCTACTGGTCAAATCACAAACTTGATGAATACAATTCTATCAGCACTGAGAGCTTGACATTATGTCAATCAGTGTACTCCTAGTTGAATTTTTACCATCAAGTATCTTCAATCCCTTCAGAATGTCTCCCATTGAGAATTCGGAAATTGGAGGAAAAGGTTTAACAGCAAAGAGAGTTTTCTTTCAACAAAATTACCCCAAACCAATAGAATAATGATAGTTCATTTGGAGAATTGTTACGCATTCATAAGTCTATTTTGTGAAGGCGAAGAAAATGTGGAAACTAAAACCAGAAGGTGATTTTGATCGTTAAGTGTAAAAAAGAATCACTCAATTAAAAAGTATAAATTAATAAAGAGATGAAAGTTGGAAGATATGTGGTGCGAAAAATGTGTTAAGAAAAAGAAAAGCTTATTAAAAAGGAAATTACTGCTTTGTACATAGTGGGATGTATGTAGTATTTTTAAACACGAGAATGCGACTTCAGCTTATAGATGGTTAGCGAATCAAGTGCGTATAAATAACGTATTCGAAGTTCTTTGGAACTATAGCGGGAGGGAATGAGTATGTAAATTACTTCGGCAGGGATTTTATTGACTGCCGACACCTAACACCAAAATACAGTGCACCACATTGTAGCTTCACTGAGTTTGTTGACCACATTGGAAACTTGGTCGATATATTTCGGTCAATGCTGAGTACTGATTAGCAGACTGGTAAATAGGTTATCCACTGGTGACCAATTTGTGCATAGCTAATATCTGAAGAAACTGGTGATACTGGACGTAATAGTTGGAGATGGGCTCCGTTCTTCACTGAAGATTACTGGTAACTGGTAAATTGTCATTCGGGTTTCATTGTATGAAAACATTCTCATATTCAAAACCCTATTCTTCTTATTGGTTAGTTAGTAGTACCATATCAATAAATGGTAGACAAGCATTCTTTGTGTATAATTTCCAATCCCTAAATGACTGAAAAATAAGTTATATGTTACTCATAAAATGTGATCCGTGTTTGTTAGTTTGTTTGTTCTATGAGTGAAAAATTCTCATGAGTTTTAAACATTGATCCTGTAGTTATAAGGTTTTTTTCAACAAATTATAATGTAACAGGTTCTATCTTGTTATGTCTGGTACTAAGTAGACAGTATTTTGAATTGTCACACTTTGCATTAGTTCAATGTAAGATACGTGTATTCACAGAGCATATTCAGCACTTAACAGATAGTAATTTCACTGTATATTTTTTCATTTAAGGGGAATATTTTCGGGATTTTAATTTCCTCTAGGTTTTACAAGAACTTGCGATTTACCAGTCTTCCTGCAGTACTTGCAATACAAAAACTACATTTTATTGGTCGGGACTCAACCCACTACGTAGATAACCTGGGCCTCAAAGGACGATGATGCTATACGAAATCAATCTCACCCACTCAAGTCTCACGGCGTGCAGACAGACAAACAAATTAACATAAAACCTTACGCGAAAGTTCATCGGTTTAAGTTGCTACACTTCATAATGGAATGTAATGAAGAGGTTAACAGAAAAAGTGATATTAAGGTAGACAAATGTATATGAGAAAAGACAGAATGAAAAACGAAGGTTAACTAAAGTTAAGGACTTTAAAAATAGCAAAGGGTGTGTACATCTACGTCATTGTGACCAGTTTTCACCTATGTCATCAAGAGTTTCTAGACACCGATACCTATCGCCTCAAGGACTCAAGCCATACATTCTGCACCTCCCTACATATCTCAGACTAACAATCAGATACTTCATGGGCTTATACCAACTCTTAGTCTAACTACCCTTAGTCTTTTTCCAACTCACTCTTACTTCGGTTAACACTAAAAGTTGAGGTAAGTGGTGGTTGGTGACTTGGACATCCGTCGGTGAAAGTTCTCCACCTCATCGACTGACTTGCCTTTCTTCTCTAATGCACTTTATCCAACCCAGACGGTGATTCCACCACACTTCGGTGATACTACGAAAACACCTACAAACACGTTGTCGTTGGCCAACTTGGTCAGAATCTAGTAGTTTATATTTTCAGAAACCATCTGGTTTTTTATATGAGATTACCATCATGAAGTATTGTAGGCTAACATCAGCTTTCGCCTTAAATTTGATGAACCTATTAGCCACAATCTGATGCCTACATTACGAGAAATTCGCTTTTGAACCTATCACCATAATGAGGACTGAATGGCTGGCTATTCAGCGGAAATGGTGAATCCTGACTACTTTCTTGTGTGAAGTAGAGGGTTTGATTTACTGATAAGCCTTCCACATGGGTGAAGCAGCTGTTCAGCGTTCTCTTATTTTGAGCTGTACTCTAACTGTTGTCATTTCTTGATGAAAACTATCTTTCAGTCACACAATCCCCCTCCAAACACTAACCAACTGAAACCAAAACTACATTATGAGTTGCTATTCTTGTAGAGGGAGTGAGTCAATCCAGCCAAAATTGAGTACGTAATGAGTATTTTTCGGAGTAAACAAACTGATTACTTAATTTATCAGTCAGGTATAGAAAGACCGAGTGGGAAGTATGACACGCTTGGATATGTGCCTGTCTCTAAACAAACAAAGATTATGTACCACTATCTATGCATTTTCTGGCATCTGAGATATTTTATTCGAGTTTGTAAATGAATTCGTAATCACAGGGTCTGGGGAGTAAAAATCTGAAAAAGACTGTACCTTAAACTCTTAAACGTCTCTCAAAGACATTCATTTCTTCGCACGCTTATATTTTCATGTCATAACTATTTCATGGACACACTTTCTCTATGTTGTTATTCTATCATTGTTATTGTTATTACTAATTGTAGACAATGACTAAGGCAATAATGCCGACAAGTGCGAATAAAATAAGCTATGATCAATGTAATACTTCACTGAATACAATTCATATGACGACGACTACGTCTCACCTACAGGTTCAATGTTCACAGTTAGATATCATCGGTTTAAATCAAATCCAGTGTTCAGTCAGTGGACCACAGTACAAGGATATCTTACTAACAAGACATGTTTATGTATTATGTCCTGGTAGGTATATTTTCTATGTATTTTATCAAACTGCTATTATTAATATTCCTTTATATTGATTATTTTTACTCGGAAAAAGTATTTATATTTTCTGACTGGTTGACCACACAGGTTACAACTTCTCATTACAACTTTGAGATATCCATCTCGAAGCTTACCACTAGTGAGAACCATACACCAATCTATTTTCTATTTTCTAAAAAATGAACATAAACTGAGACATCTTCACAAACACAATGATAGTATCAAGTTTGCTATCTTCTTTGTTTAACGGTTACTGTTGGTCTAGTCAACCCATTATGATGATGAAACGTTCACTAACAAACAGTGAAGTCGAATAACAAAAGGCAGACTTCCTTCAAAAATAATGAATAAGCTTACCACACTTTGTTACGAGTTTACATTTAAGGCGTGTTAATTGTTTAACTGTCGATAATAATCATCTGCCAACTTCAAATTTCGTCTGTGATTGCAAGATTGACTATAAAACATCGTCTAGTGATTTGATTCGAGAGAAAAGTCGACTTTGCTATATTCATCTGCATATAACAATACAGAGAAAAGTATTTTTTCAGAAACATTGTTACTCACTGAAATCTGCCTAGCGGTGGCTAGCAGTAAAATACGGGACGCGTTTCACCCCATTTAGGACTCGTCAATACCCGCATATGACCCTATATACCCACAGAGGTCGATCATTTCGATCCAGAATAACAACGGCAAGTAACAAGCATCAATAAATAATCATAACTGATACTCGCTTCGCAAGTGGTGGCTGTCGTACCCTAGTAGCCTTGTGGATAGCGCTTTCGCGTTTGAAGGGTTGGTTACTGGATAGGAGCAACATCATTCAATGGGGTGCAGGTACATCCAGTTGATGGATTCCAGAAAGGACAAAATAGGTGTCCTGGGTTCCACTGATAGAAACCACAAAGCAGACTGCAACATGAGTAATTGAGCAATATTGGGGCATGCGCATAGGAGCCTATGTGTCAACAGAGGTCGACCAATTTCGACCCAGAACAACAACGAGAAATCATAAGTATAGGTTGTTGTTACTCACTATTCACTATTCTCACTACTGAACTAAATGACTGGAATATTTCAATACTTTAAGATATCACGTCATATACCATTCGGATTCATAATTCAGTATTTACTAATCCTGCTGATAGCGTGAAATATCTTGTGCTTCGTCCTAAATAATATGAACACCACCAAGTTTTAAGTGTAAGGTTGGCTGGGCATTTGTGTACTAATTATAACCATCCCTAGGTACTGAAGGAAAACTACTAAGAATTACAACTGAGAAATCAAGCGTTTCATGTAGCAAAAATTGGAAGACAGTGAGACAGTTTACATTCCCAAGGGAATAGAATCAGAGTCAAGAGAATATCAGAGGTTACTGATTGTCATATCCATGAATGTAGTGAAGCAGTTCAATTGTCCACTGAGATGTTCTTGAACCATCAGAAGCACTCGTTACAACTTCTGCTGTCATTTAGCTTAGTAGCCACGTTCCACCTGAGACGAGCATATTAGTTACCATATGGCTATCAACTCTTCTATATAACCCGGTCGTTCAGGATGCCGGTTATCAGTGACTGGATGGTAAATTCTCTGACAGTGACATTAATTGGCGAAGATTTAAACTTCCGAGGAATCACGGTTGCAGACTGTTCTTACTGATGAGTGACAACAAGTACGAGACCTAGATCTACTACTTTTTCTTAACTGACTTCTAAAATCCGAGAATAAACAGTTTTATATGAAAATACATTCCGACATTGATCCCATTGTTATTGACTGCCTAGCTTATGTGTATAAATATCCTCTAGCAGTTTGGATTTTTCAAGGTGTATAATTATGCTTCATGATTGGACGAAGTGTGACATTTCATTTTAGAACTCATTGGATTAATGGAAATAAGCTTAGTTAGTCTTTCGTTATTTGTTTGTGCTGTACAAAGTTACTGCTGAGAATAATAAACATGACTACACTGAAGTGAACAATCATTAGTAGTTTGTTGCATGTGGTATGCTTCTATTCAAATGTAAGTACAGAATTACGCATAACCGCAATAACTGTTTTTGTGCTAAATGCATGTACTGGTATTTTAAACTCTAAAAGTGGGGTGTGTAGACGTATACGTATATCATCTGACAGTTATTCGATGGTATCAACATTATATCTCTATGACATTAGAATACATTTTGGACACCTTTATGTTTTAATGTAGCAAACAATAGGTTAGCACAGCATGCATGCCGTTTAACCTCCGATAGCTCTGGTAATGTACATGTTTCTAGAAAGTTTCAAGAGAAACTAGTTAACATATTCAGGTCTGTTATTTAACGAATTCACGCGCATGTACACACAAACATATACACGCATTACTTGAAACGGGACATACTTTTTGACCGAAATTAAAGACATATTTGGATTAGTAGATCAATTAATTATTATCATTTCCTTTTACGTGTAATTTTTCTTTGTTTCTGCCGTAGTTTGTCAGTACCTAAGAATAAGAATTACTCGTTAAGCTTTTATCACCATACAGACTGAAAATTAGGTGAGGTCGTTCAGTGATAAAGATTTTGAATTCCATATAGAATATGTGCATACACTTATATTTTTATTCCCAGGCTGTACGAAGTTCGGTCTTAGTGTTGTAAAGCATACAATGTCCCTATCGAAACTGCGCAACTTTTCTTATGAAATAGTTTGGTTATGAGATAAATATCAGCCTAGTTAATTTATTGTTCTGTGGTAACGAATGCACTAAGAGAGTATTCTCTTTCGCACACTTCACTTGTAAATCACCATCATTGGCTAGTCTTTCGTACTGTGTTTAGTATACCTCTTTATACGTTTATTTTCATAAACTGCATGTGATTCTTTTTGGTAGGCTACTGTGAACATGTATTTCTCTTAATTACATTTTTGTTTTTAAGAGCAATAAACAACCAAGAAACGAAACCGATTACAGCGTAGTAAGGTGGTGTAGAGTTCGAAATCTTTGATGTAATCTAATATTTAACATGGCATACTTCTGTGTAATCATAGTGATTGATATGCAATTATTGTGAAAGGAATGAAGAGAAAGGGTAATAGCTCACAAAGAGTACTCTAGTCTTTTACTGAGATAATTTTTTTACTAATATATCAACCAAGTTTTTAAAAGTTTTTGTGTAGACTACAGATGGTTAGTTTCCACAAAGGAACGTTCGCGATTCAACCAGTAGCAATCCACTTAGTCAGCACAATCTGATAAATCATCGAGTCAGCTGATAGCTTAGCAAACATACGCAATAAAATCGCATTCAGGGGTAAACACGATCAGCAACAACTTATAGTACACACGCACACATATCAAGTCAATCCGAAACTGGAAATACAGTGTGCGAAGTCAGGCTCAAGTGTGTTGGTTGAAATAATATTGTTCAAATCCTTGGACGTGATCATGAGCACTCTGGATCACATATATTTACCACTTTTTCATCTGACATTCATTTCTCCGAATAGTCAGTTCAAAGTCTGTGTACAAGATTTCAAACGAGAGAATACGAGATTATTTTCTGAAAAAAACGTTTTGAATATATAGTGCACACGTTACTAGACAGTTGGTAAGGTAAACCTTCTAACAAACTTGTTGTTAGTTGACAAGGATTGTTGAAGAAAAAACAATTAACTCATCTGTAAGGAATATCAACATTGACTGTGCAGATCTTAAAGTGTCAAAATTATCAATCAGTATTTAATGATGAGCAGAAATACACAATAACTGACTTTCTGTAGTTACCTGTTGGTATGTAGTTATCAATTAACATATTCGGGAGTGTTAGGTAATATCCGCAGCTCAATATATAAATTTTTTCAATGGAAGTGTCCTCTTGAATTGATATAGTTTGAAGTATAGCCTCCAGTTACACTAATCATCATTTTCAGTACAGATCGAAAATTGGTGTTGGTAGGGATTTTCTCAAGTCTGTTCATATCAATCTATTCCACTTAATCGGTCAGTAATTTGAAAATTGATTCATTTTAATCGAATAGTAAATGCCCTCAAAAGCAACACTTGAAGGATGGCTAAACCGTCATCATTATCACGGTGGAAAAATCCCATCCAATCAAAACATAGTTTCTCATTACAATATTCAGTATTCAAATAATAAAAAGGTAACCGATTGATGAAGATATAATCAAATGACTAGTCAACTGAGGAAGATGGGTTTATAGTCTCTATTTTGTGTTTCCCTCTATTTTACTTTACTAAACCTAATCAACTGGGTTCTATCAGTATGTGGGTTTCCCAGGTGATCACCTTAATATCGCGTCATTTTCATCTTGGAGTCATTTTCCTGGCTATGATTATTTATTGTGCTAACGACACACATTTAATACTATTTGGTATTCATGAAGTGAATGTATCTACATCTGGGTGAGTGTTGGTGTTGCCACTGCAATTCAGACTCAGCACTCAGCAGCGTATACATCCAGAGAAGGCAATGAGTTCAATCCAACATTGCGAGCGAACAGAAATTCCGAAATCCAAGTGGTGGTAACCTAAGCTTGTTGTACGAAATTGGCTTCCATGATTCAGCAACCTATCGTTGGAAGTCATGAGTGCTGGATTCGAGTCAGAATAGGAATACAGTCACTCACTTGGAATGAAGGTACATGTAGTCGACCAGTCGTAAACACGTTGAAACACACGGGTTCCACTGCAATTCATCACTTAACAAATAGCACCAAAGTTAAAAGAGATTTGTACAATCACTATCTCTGAAAATCTGTGATCTGTAGTGTAGCTATTCTCCAGAATGTAACTGGGAAATGTGCACTGAAAGAGGCCAGCGCAAGAGAACGCTTTTACCTCAATTCCTATCACACTGGTTACTTTATGCAATCGCATAGTTAAATATGCAGAGAGTTACGTATTTTAGTTATCATATTTGATTCAGTGATTCTTTGTAAGTTGATTAGGTTTTCTTGCATCA